GGTAATTTAAGCTTTTAAGTTTAAAAGAAAATACGTTGGTGCAATGAATATTTAGGGCTGGAAGTTGTTTTTGCTGGTGCAATTTGAGGAAAATAAGTAAAAAGAAATGATGTTATTGAGCTGCTTATGACTTTGATACCATAAAAAATCACAAAGAGAAGTTGAAAATTTATGATTTATTTCCGACAATTTTTGTATAGGTACATACACATTTATAAATGAAGGAGTTACAATATGTAATATACACATTTATAAGCCTAAATTAATTATTTGATCTAAATAATTTGTATTATCTATTGAAACTTTAGTTAGTTCTTATTTCAAACCCTAATTATTAATATAAATAGAGTTTGAATTAATTAGAGGATTAGCGTTAGAGATAGGTTGTATAATAGAGTTAAAAGTAAAACAAACATTTGAGGTAAAAAAAATTATAATCAAAGTTAGACATTATTAATGAATGCAAATTTATGTCTTCATGTACACCACTTCTCCAAGTGATTTTAGGCACCATAATTTTACAACTAAATGCACATGCTGGTGCTATCATGATAATTTTGTGTATATAAATAGACCTATTAGGTTAGTGCACAATAGACGATATGCAAAGTTCATGCTCGTGATTGTGTACATAACACGCAAGATGCACACACTCAATGCAAATATGCTCTAACACTTATTCTAACGCTTAATTGCTCTTTCTTAGTGTTTTAGATCTATTTTATTCTTCTTTACTTTGATTTTTTTTTTATGTTGTTTTGATTATTTATCGAAATGTTTCTTTGTTTATTATATCAATTTTTTTTATAAAAAAGGTAAAGTTATTTTATTACTTTTATCTTCAATAACCAATAAGAAAAGCACAGAAAGGCATTAATGGCACCAATCACATGAGAGCACTATGACATTAGAGCAGCAGTTTCTGCATGTTGGAATTCTATAAACAACATAAGCATTCAAAAATTAGCAAGCATTAACGAATGTCAAAAGAAACACGGTAATAGACAATAATAAAAAAAAGAGATTTAAGGAATTATGTGTTTATTGAGATTAATATAAATACTTTTAAAAAGATGTTGATTAAGCTCTTTTCTTGTGACTAAATGACTAGTAGATCATGATAATGAATATTTGATAAATAATGATAACTCTCAATGCAGTATTAGAACAAAACATCTATTAAAAAATGAACTATTGTTTCTAAACTATATCTGGAGATAAATCAACAATTTAAAATATTTTTCTTGAGTATTCTTGATAAACCAACATTTATATGGGTCCACTCTTTTTTCTATTCAAATATCAGGCTTTTATCTCTATGTTTTCGCATCGAGGATCCTTTGTAAATGAAAAGATGTTACAAAGTCAAATAACATATTAGATTGATTGCTATATTTATAATTTATCATCATATTTTTTCACAATTTCATATAAGTAAGCTTTGGATTTTGTTTTTTGATTCTAAAATTTTAATTCCTTTTACATAATTAAGAAACTAATAGACTTATAAAAGTTATATGATATCTCACTAGTTTAGCCTACTCTACTACAAACCGACCTATCATAGACACTACAAACCTCATAATTGTGTGCTTGTTGGTTGAGAGAGGATCACAATGATATAATGTTATCTAGTTATATTTGAATCCCTTCCAATAAATATCTTTTCAACTTTAGCCATTTAATAATAGAATTCTTCCTTAACTTATTTAATGATTGTTTTGGTACCGACTTGAGCATCAAACTCATTGCATCAAACAAAAAAAAAATCTTGATTTGTGGTCTTGATCTTGTTATTGATTATTGGTGAAGATTTTAGAGAAAAAAAAAAAGATTTCTAGATAGCCTGCAAGAATATGATCATTCAGGATTCATATAATAGCACTTTAATCTACTAATAACAATAGAAAAAAATATAGCTTTTATTTTCTAAATGGAAATTTCAACGTGGGAACGAACAATAGTATATGCATAGCATGCAAAGCATTATCAAGAATTTCTTGAATGTATCGTATTTACTTAGTTTATATATATATATATATATATATATATATATATGGAGAGAGAGAGAGAGAGAGAGAGAGAGAGAGAGAGGGCATAGGCTGAGAATCTTGATAGTGAATTTGGGGTAGAAAGATATCCACATCAATATTTCTGTTCTTTCTTTCATGCTTTTATTCCAAGCTTAAGTCATTTCCATGTCCATGCACTGTCACCACATCCATCACCTCACGCCTTCTTTCTTTATCTTTCTCCTTTTTTCTTTTCTATTTATTTACATGTAACCGCAAGTAGCTGGACACCACACGTTGCGGACTTTTTAAATTGTCAATTAACTAATTATAATTTATTTCAAATTTTATTTTGAATCAATTTTTTAACAGAACTTTATATATGTTGATGATTATGTACACTTTATAAACTAATAATAATATAAACAATCTAATGAAAACACATATAAAATCTATAGTCAAGTTCAAACCCACTTTCTCACAAAGAGATATGAAAATATCAATTGTAAGATAGATAAAAAATAATAATAATAATAATATTTTGGATCAATTTAGTTGTAAGCCCAGTCCAATTTATGGTTATTTATTAATTAATTAATTATATTTTCTTTTTAAGAAATATCTCAATCAAATTAATCTTGTCCAAGCATAGGAACCAAAAACTGCGACAATTCTGAGGAATACATCACCAAATCAAGTGATAATATAATATAATATAAAAATAAAAATAAAATATCACCAATCGTTAACCCTAAATCTGAATTGTTACTTTTACCATCTCTTTAATTGATTATGAGCAGTCGGAAACCACTCTCCACCACTTCCTGCTCCATCTCCATCAACTCTGCAATCTCTAATTCCCAATAAAGTGCCTATATCAAAACTATCTCCATTGATACTTGTGATGTTATCCATGACTACCCTAATCCTTGTCCTTCCATGTTCTCCCATGGATGCAACTATGCTAATCTTCACATATTCCATATGAGATGGTGACAAACGTAAATTTATTATTGTAAGACATTTTTATACGAAATTTACTAAATATACAATGAATAGTTAAATCATACATAAAATTTCTTTACAAATAGAAATATATTTATGTTATTAAATTTAATAGACTAATATAAATCAAGAGACAAAAAAAGCTTCTAAAAGAATATGTATAAGAAAATAAGTAAACAATCATAAGCTAATTAGTATGCAAAAATTAATAACTATAGTAATTAATTATTTCTAATTACTACTTAATTCAATGATTATTATATTGTTTTTCTTTTTATATATATAAAATTATGAATTCGATTCACATTATATTTTTATATAATCTAGTTTAATTTTTTTATTATATTATAATTAATTGATAATCTAATATTTTACTTAAAGAATTATTCTTAATTTGAATATATATATATATATATATCATTGTATGATTAGTTAGGAAATATTAAACCAAAAGGAAGAGATTTAGCATAAGTGTCTAATCTGGCTGGGTCTAAATACCACAAGAGGGAGAGCGAAAAAGTAAGTCTTGGAGATATCCTAATATTTGATTAAAGTTTAAAAATAAAATATTTTAAATATATTAGACTAATATAGGAAATATATTTTTAAAGTCTTGATGCACAAAAATTCCTATTAGGGTCTTCAGATATATGTGTAGGTATATATACACACACACACACACACATATGTGTGTGTGTGTGTGGAATTCGTTGATTGACCACTCTTTGAAAAGCAACATTTATTTTATTTCTTGGCACACAAACACACATACACGTATATATATATATATATATTTGATGGCATGGGGGCAGAGAGAGAGAGAGAGAGACCATGTTTGATGGGCTGGAAAGAAGAGGAGCAGCTTTTCAGGAAGTAGATCAGGTAGCCAAAACAGCAGCCATTGTTTTTGTTCCTCATAAAAATATACAACTTTTTTACTTTGGAATTTTAACTAAAAACCATGAATGATCTAAACAGAACCAGAAAACCAGAAACTAATATTTTTTTATTTAAGTTTTATATATTTTGTTAATAGTTTATTATATATATTTGCAGTATTATGTAATTTAGAAATTAGTATCCCACGTGAATTTAAATTATAAGGTTGTGGGGTGCACATGGAGTTAAGAAGCGAGCCCACGTCGTGGTGTTTGGATTCTTGGGTTGTGGAGAAACACCATCATGCATGCCAAAGTTAAACCTACAATTAACATTTCTTAATTATTTTATTTTTTCATTTATAATTAACTCTTAATCACATTAATTATTATTTGACAGGTAATCTCATCATACCCAGCCACCCATATTCCACTTGTCTCATTTTCACCCATTATATATACACACATAACTATTGTAGTAATTAACTTCACCTTCTTCTTGTTTTTTTTTTTTTTTGTTTTGTTTTATAGCCTGATCAACATTGGCTAAATAAAAAAAGAAAAAACAATTATAATAAAAATAATCAATATTGGCTGTGATGTGAAGACAAAACAAATTAATCATGTTATTGGTTTGGCTGGACTCGGAGTAGTTAATTTTCGCATGCAAGGAAAGGAGTAGTATAATAATTAATTAATTGAGATATCGATTCATGATTAACTTTGATCAAAAACGAAAACCCAATTCATATTATTTCCATATATATATATATATATATATATATATATATATACACATAGGCAAGAAATAGCTTTGCAGGGTTAGGTGGTTAAAGAGCAATTAGGGGCTAAAAAGGGCCTTTTTGTGATATTCTAAAAAGTAAGAGCCTTTTACAGTCATTTTCTCTTCCAAACATGCCCTTAAAGTTGTTAGCTGCCATTACAAAACCCTTGCAACCTATATTTCGTCTTAATAAAGTAAAATAACAATTAATGTACTGTTCGAGCTCCTTTAAGAATACATATATATATATATATATAATTTATTATAATATTTAACTGACTGACTCACCCACACCCATCTCTCTCTCTCTCTCTCTGCAAATGTTTCATCTCTCTCCCCACAAGCTTCCAAACAAAGAGAATTAATGGAAAGTGAGATTTGCAAGGTTTATTCTCCTTGTTGTCCTCTCCTGTACGCAGTTTAACATGAAACACCAAACAAAAATCCTCTCCTGTTTCATGGGTGTCTGTCCTCTCTCTTTTTCTTCAGTCCGCAATCCAAAACCATGATTAATCTCCATCTGATCAAATTCAAGAACCAGATAAGTTTTACACCCACCTCATCAATCCATGGCATATCTTGCCAATACTAACCATCTCCATCATCAAAGAAGCTGGCCGGTATGACCAATATGGTTCCTGCTCAAACCCTGTCCAACCAACAATATTATCATCATCTCTTTCACGGTTATGGTGGTGCCTTTGCTAGTTTTCCACAAGTTATGAGCCGGGTTCAAGGTTATGATGAGTGCTTAGGATCTGATCTAGCAGATAATAACAATACTAATAATAACAATAAGAATATTTCTATGGCGGAAGATGATTCAAGAACTAACAGCCTTAATGAAGCGGCAGGCTCCAGCACCAGAGATAACACAAGTAATATTATTCCAAATACAGTCCGAGAAGACAGTATCAGAGATGACGACCCCGGTTGGCTGCAACTGAGTATAGGTCGTCAAACGACGACATATGAGGCAAACAAGCGAGCCGATCAAACCGCCGGGACAAGTGTATCAGCGCCGGCGCCGGTGGAGCTCGATCTGTTGCCTTCGCCTAATAACTCTCAGCAGCTAATTACGCCATTAGCCCCTTTTTTCAACAGCCTGCAGCCTGAGTATAATCCACCTCCCGTAATATTTCAACAGCAACAAAACCAAGCGAGTAGCTCCTCAATGTTTTTTCCTCATCATCATCATCAAGAGAACATTAGCTGGGTGTTTAGGCCTCTACTCCAAAATACAGGATCCGTTTCGTCTTCATCGAGCTCGTCTATGATGCCAGTGATGAGGTCTTACTTTTCCCGGCCATTCCAATTGCAGATGGGAATTGTTGATGGTGCTGGGTCAACCACCGATTTTAGAGTGATTGATCCTCCAAGAAGACCCCATTCTGGCATTTGGTTCGTGCTCCAAGCGTCACAGAATCAGTAAGTGCAAATTTGAAGATAATTAGATTATGGAACTTGAAAAGATGATTTAGGCCCACAACCCACTTTTTTTTCCATCTTTTCCCCTTTTTTTCTTTTCCCTTTTTCACTTAGTTTCTTCTGGTTTTTCAAATATGAGAGTTGGAAGAAACTCATGGGGTTTGGTTTGTGAATGCAGAGCGAAAGAGCCATTTTTGCCCCAGATACCTAAGAGCTACTTGAGAATCAAGTAAGAATAGTTATTCATAATCTTTTTTCTTTGATAAGATTCATAGATTAATCAGGTGTACATTAATTATACCACAACGAAAGAAACCTTAAAAAGAGGATATATACAAGATTATAATCCAACTTGAACTTAAGACTTCTTGCAAAAGAAGTGACATATCAATCATTTAATTTTGCAGTGGTTGTTTATTGTTCATAAAAATTTATTATTGAATCTTGACAAGTAGTTCTTTCTCCATTTTCTTGTTTATTAAGTTTGGGTGATCTTGGTCTGAAATCTTCAGGGACGGGAGGATGACAGTTCGGTTATTAATGAAGTATCTGGTGAACAAGCTGAAACTGGATAGCGAATCAGAGGTATTTAAAGTTCAACCTTTTTTCTATCTACTTAATTAAATGCTTGTATCCTTAGCGTATTCTTCTGCATTTCATCCACTACATCTGCATATACAATAATATTCCCATTCATATTGAACTTGAACTTACTCAAGATTAAGAGAAAAACCACATTAGGTGCGTATATTGAAGAAATTAATTGCCCAACGGAATGAAACAATTTAATCAACATGAAAATAGACATTAATTAATGTTTGGTGTTAGAGACATCATGACAGAAACAGCACAACTAAATTGGTGTCTCTAGTGGGGGGGGGGGGGGGGGACGTAGTATTTCATCTTAGAACATATATGACATTTAGGTGGCAAGTATATTTCTATATATATAGCCATCTTCTCTTTTTGTATCATTAGGCTTTTAAAACCCATCATCTACTTTTCTAAGGAACTAAAGCCTTTGTCTAATCAGTTTTCTAAGCTTGGTGTTTAGTTAGTTATGGTGGTCTTAGTGACAAGATGAAAGTTGTAGGGTTTATATCTAAACAACTTTTAACATAAACAAAATAATATACATATATATATATATATCTAGAAAGAAAGAAACCCAGCTAACCCTTTTCGCTCTTTGAAGAAATGGGTTTTACTTTTTGAGGCCATTAACGATTTAACAAAAACTTTGCGTTGCTTGTGTAGAAAACAGCCGCAAGCACAAGTAACATATATACACACACACACAAAAGAAAAACAGAAATACCCAATTACATATATATATATAAACACATATAGGACAGAAAAATTAATTAAATATTGATTAGTTGTATATTTTAGTGATTGAAGAAACCTGGGAGAGAAAAGATTAGCTGAGTATTGATGCATGATGATTAGTACGTACAGGGAGTAATATTTAAGATGAGTAGCGTAATTGATTGTTTGTGTAGCGCTGTTTATCAAGTACGTACTTACGTGTGTGATATATATATATATATATATATATATATTTATAATCTCTAGAAACAAATATTGGCCGTAAGCATTATTGCCCCAGCTTACTACAAACATTATACATATATGTATATATAGGGATTCATTATCTCGATCATAATTGAGTTTGAGGAGCACACACACACACACACATATGTATGATTAGCCACAGAGCTTTTTTACATGGCAACTTTACCAACTTTTAAATGAAAGACAGACAAGGCCTAACCGGAGTATTGTTTGTATGTATCACCATTTTAAGAAATAAAGCATCCTTAGTTTTCATGTCTTTTTGGAATGAAATTTCCACATCACTTAATTAAATTGATTAATTTTTTAATTGTTGTTTTTTAAATTGTGAGTGAAATAATTCCAGGAAGCATTTTTAGACTTTCTTTAACTAAAGAAATTAGGTGACATTTTTTTAATCGAGTAGTGAAATCACTTTCCTTCCAGCTAAACTAAACTTTACACCAAATTAACACTCATTTTTAGTAAGGAAGACATACTGAAACATTAAATTAAGTTTTTAATATTTTTTTTTTCAAAAAAATTAGAGCAATCTTTCTGAGTCTTCCGACTTATCATGAATTATCACAACAATGGTTTGCATCGAACTTTTATATAATGCATTTTTGTAACTTTAATATTCTTTTATTTTTTTATTTAAAATTTTGCTTATTTAAAATAGAATATATATATATATATATAAGAACATATCACTTAAACCCATTTTCCTTGTTTAAAAATTCACTGCAGGATTTTGTTTCATATAGGATTCACTTTTATATGGGAAAACTAAAATGTGTGTTTTACGTGCATGTTATATAAGCATACGTATATTGTAAAGTATAGAGATGAAGATATAATTGGTGTCAAAATAAAGATATGTATATAAATATATATATATATATATATATAATGTGTAATTATAAGGAGTGGATCCTGTAGCGATAGTAATGCATGGATTAGGTGCACTATATATATATATATATATATAAATATATAATGAGTGATTGTATTGAGCATATTGGACGCAGATATAATTGAGTAGTGTCCCTTAGCTTTACACAAAGCTTCTCATGCACACTTCATCATCAAATACCATTATAGCTTCCCTACAATTATTACAATTATTTTAACAGTCCTTTTTTTTTATTATACATGACATTCTAAAACATTATTCGCTTCCAAAATTACTCCAATGAAGTCAAAGTTTCTAGAGACATGCATTGAAATGATTATATAGACACACACACACACACACACATATATGTAGAACGCCCATCAAATAGATCAGTACCATCCCTATATTTTTCTTACAAATATATTATTACTACCTAACTAATCATAAAACCATTAGAAAAAATCATTTACATGCTAAGCTTCTAACAGCTGAGAAAAAAGAAAATAAAACTTACGATCACATATTATTCTATATAGGTATATGCACTTACAGTTAATATATAAACCTAGGTTTTTCCTTCTTACTTGCCTACCTTCTTCATTAGTTTTATAATAACTGACTATAATTAATTATTTAACATTTATTGGAGATAGAGGTTCAATTTTTGAGTCTAAACTCATGAGTGTTAATATACAAATAATAAATTAAAATTCTTTATATATTTAAGCTTTTGGCAAACTTAGCACTTGAAAAATTATCTAATTAGTACACCGCATAAATAATAATATTAATTTAGAATTAATTAATTTTGATACTTCCACGAGAAACATTAAAAAAGATTTGATGCTGTTGTTAGAAAGAAGTTTAAAACATATATATTGTATATAATTCTCAATGGTTAATATTGTGAAATTATAATTTCCAAAAAAATATAGTGAAATTATAGGTTAAAGATTAAGTTTGCTAATTAGAGATAATTTACGTTATATAACTGCGGGTCTATATATATATATATAATATAATATAAGGTAGGCATGTGAAAAGAAAAAAAAAAAGATTGATTTCTTCGGTTTATAAAGCTAAAAGTTAGATTCCACTTCTTATGTACGGCATGACATGCATGGGGACGTTTTCGCCGTAATGAACGCAAGAACATTTATGAAATCGACACAACTCACCACTTAATTTATCTAAATGAAAACAAAGACACATATATATATATATATATATATATACTCCTATAATTCTTTTCTTTTCTCATTGGTGGAATCGTATGTTTTCTAGGGCTAATTATAAAAAACTCATACAAATGTAGCAAGTCTTATTTTAACTCCTTCCAGCTTTCATGATATGCACATATATAGCTTGTCTATATATATATATACACACACATAATTCTTGAGAGGAGAAAAAAAAAACCTTAAGGAATTAAACTGTTTGAGCTAATAAGCATATACAATAAATCAGGATATATATATATATGTGTGTGTGTGTACAAATATATATTTATAATCAAGTAGCTAAATTTTGGTTAATATTTAGGTCAGCCCTTATGTTCTGCCACGATATAATATAGACACACACATTGCCCGATATAATTCATGCCATGAAGTAAGGAGAAATCCATTAGTATATTAATTGGATTTCTTCTTATCATTATTTTTATATATAAATAATGTCTACGTATAAACAGCTATCTCCAGTTATAATTGATAATCCACTACACCTAATAATTCATAGAGAAATTAACAATCATGCCAAACATTCTTCATGAAAATCTGTAAGTCAACGAGTATAAGTCAACTTAATGCATGGCATTGATTCGTTGATGAGGAGCATGTTGAAATAGGACATTACATTATATGTAGATTCGCGTGCATATCACATGAAACATTATTTTCGGGTGTAGGTAGGGGAGATACATGGCATGCAAAACTAATGATCCAATGATTAGCTTTATTATAAGTGCCTATGATTTATATTCTAAACAATTATTTTAATTTGTGATTTTGTAATTTCATATTAAGAAAATTTATTTAGTTAAGTATCAATTAATGATAACAATTAAAAATTATGTACTCCCATTTTCCCATAATTAAATTAGATAACCCTTGTAACAATGAATTAATGATTTCTTTAGATAATAAAGAGCATCTATAAGTTTTTTTTTTTTTTACACTAATTTCTTTCTTCACATATATTGTATATTGGATTAGGCTTGATACATGTGTTCTGAATACATTTTGAAGATCTTATTAGATTAATTAGAAAAATCATGCTAGCAAGGAAATGATGTAGAAAGGGTATTAGAAGATGGATAAAAATTAATAACATACATAATTTTAAGTAGGATGAGAACATTTTATTTCAATTCAACTAAATAGATAGGATTTCTAATACACTATTCCTCAAATGAGTATTAGCTTATTGATTACTTCTTCTATATTAGAAATGAGTAATGATTTAGTCTTGAGTTCTATCCTAATCTATGTGAAATGTGACTTGATTACTTAGTTTAAATACGTTAATTAGTGTTCTAAGCTAGAAAGAAATTCAACTTATACTAGGTTATTTTTTAATAATTTGGAGAATATTTTGTTGATTTTGAACTAATCAAATGATGTCAGAATTTATAAATAAACTTAATAAAAAAATTTAAATTTATTAAAAAAACAGCAATAGCCTTACCATACTTAAAATTTTAGAGTTGAAAAAATATGAAATTCAAATTCCCAAAAGTAGAACATACACCCAACAATATATTAAATTATATCTAAGAATTTTACTTGAGACTTCAAGTAAAAGAAAAAGATTATCTTAACCCATATGAAATCATTTAAGTTAGATTTACCTCTCTATAACTAAGTATTGTTTTGGATAAATTTGGTTTTAAAAGTTTAGACAGAGGAAGCATCATAGAAGAGGGGCACGCATGTGTAGTACAATATATTTAGTAATGATTAGCCACAATCTATGAACATGAACAAGTGACATTTTTTGTAGCTACACTAGGCTAATAATAATTAACCAATTCAATTTCATGGGGAACAAAGAAAAAAAGAAAAAAAATCAAAGATGCCTTCATGATGGGAAAGTATTTATATTTCTGTCTGAATTAATTTTTCTTAATTTTAAAAAGTACATTGACTTTAAGATCTTGAAAAATTAAAACACATGTACACCCAAACTTCAAATTTCCTCCCTCTTACTTGACACTAGCTCAATATTAATTATACCACATAAATATTTTTTTGTTTCATAGAAATATATATAATTATACATCATTATTATAATTATTTTTGTGCTATTATATTAATCTAATGAAAGAAAGCATCATGAATTAGTCATAAAACATTAGCCACATAATTTTTTTATTTTTATTTTATAAACATATAATTAATTATACATCATCATTATAATGATGATGAGTATTATTATTATTATTATTATTATTACATTAATTAAATCAAAGAAAACATTACAAATCACATCGTAGGGCATGAAAGATCACACGTGGACCCTGTCCTTCTCAAGAACATACACCGAGTCTTTTGCATGCGTTGCATATCACTCTCTTTCGTCACGCTTTCGCTTCTTTGTTATCACCTTTCATCCCCCACACCTAATTATTATATTACTTTTTTATATTTTCCCTTTTGTTTCATTTTTAGAAAAAAAAGAAATTATATTACAACTAATAACATTGTCTTCTAGTATTGGGTTTCAATCAATTTTTAGAACTAACAAATCTTAATATCTATAACTAATATTTTAATCTCAAATTTACAGGATATATGTACATATATTATACTATTTTGAAAAGGTTGATAAAAACCCTAAGTAGTGCGCTTTGATGGGTACATAAATGACCCCATCATCTCCTCAACAACCAACCACACACACACATATATATATATATATATACACAAAGAAAAACATGTAAATATAAGTAGATATCTATATAATATAAAATTTACGTGGGAAGAAAGCAATGCATGAAGGATTAGATCAACAACAGAATCATTCCAAAGGGAATAAATATTGAAAAGCATATAAAGACAGATCATAAGAAAATGAATTAATGAAATTCCCATTCGCGAGTTGGTGAATGCTACTCCATTAAAAATACCCAATATAGGATTCTATATCTATTTATAATTTATCTGTGTCTCTACATATATATATATATATATATAAATTGGTGTGATCAGGGACGACCTATTAATAATTAATTGGTGCATTTTTTTCCATGTTTGTTTGACCTTTCATGTTTTTAGGGTTGAAGAGAAATAAACAATTAAAAGAATAAGAAAAAGAAAGCAACATGGAGACGTGCATGAGATATTGGAGACTGTAAATATATAATATTAAAGAAATAATTATTCTATATTAACAAAAAATAAATAAATAAAAAGAAGAAAGTATATATATATATATATATATATATATATATAGTTGAGATTATAAAAGTGAGATAATTAAGAACCAAGTCTAAGGAATCATGATTTCTGGCTTAAGAGTAAAGGGTAAGTGGGTCCCGTAATGATTAAAGTCGGGCAGTTTTTAGACCGTGGGGATGAACGGGCAGCACTAATTAGTGTGTTCTTGGGGGTGACCGCTGCCCGGTAGTATTGCAGGAGGAATGTGAGTAAAGAGAAATTGAAGTTTGATGGGTAAAGTAGACGTTACATAACAAATATGGGTGAGACGTAAGCTACTGACGAAGCATGACATCATTATTACTTTTTCCATTTCTTTTATTTTTGGGTAGATGGGTTTTAGGTAATTTTACTTCCCAAGTCTTAATTTCTTTTCTTTAAAGTCAGATATGTTGTTGCATTATCATGCAAAATTCATCTCATCTTTTTTTTTTCTATCTTATGTAATAATATGTTAAAAAGTAACGTATAATTTTGGGTATTTTTTGAGATTTTTTTCAAAATGATTCTTGAAAATTTTATTTGAATCAAATATCAGTTTGTATTTTTAAGTTATATAAATAGATTTTGGTTTTTTCAAATAAAAAATGTCATATTCACAAAATTTTCTATTGAAAGAATGTACATACCCATCACAATTATTATTCTATATTCTCTTCTTTTTCTTTTTTATTTTATTTCTTCTCTCCGATTACTTTTAAAATTCTTATATTTTCTGTTCTAAAAAAAATACAATTTCTTTTACCAAAATCTTGAAGAAGCAATTGGAGAGAAAAGGAAAAAAAGAAAAGAAAAGAAGAGGTTGTAGATAAATTTTGGTGAAAGATAAAGAAAGAAAAAAAAAACAAAAAGAGTGAAATGATTATTTTACCCATCAACAAAAAATATATATGTTGAAATTATCATATTTTTTCTTCATCCACTTAATACAAATTGAAAATATAAACTTCTATTTTATTCAAGTAATTGTTAGTTACTTATAGGAAGAAAGGAACTCGTAGTTCTAATATCTAACTAACCTCTAACTGACCCTGAACTGAATATCGAAACTTTGGCTCTACTGAATATAACATTGTTTGTTCCAATTTCATTTAATTCAGTTGGAACTACAACAACGAATATATTTAACAAAATTTTGCGAAAAGAAAAGAGATAATACAAAATAATCATAGTGAGTACTCGGATAGACATCAAGTTATTAGTATTATCCCTCAAGACCATTAATTTTTTTATCTCTAAGAACAAATTTATTTGATATATAAAAAAAAAGTTGATAATACCCAAAATTTATTTATTTCACCAATCTATACATCAATTCCCATCTGTAGAATATAATAGAAAAGAATGTGTGTTGAATGAATGTGTTGATTATATAAAATTCTCATCTCTACATGAAATATAGATAATTAAATTAAATTAAATTGCAAACAGATAGAGATAAGATGTAGAGGGCAAGCACTTCTACCATTCTTGACACTGCAACATGTAAGAGATACAATATGGAGTGTAAGAGATGCTGTGACTTTGCTTCCTGACTCCTCTACTGCTGATCATCTCATGGTGCTTCACTATGGTAGGACTATATAATTTTTATATTACATTTTGCACTTGTTGTATAATTCTTAACTTATCAAACTTTTATTTTTCTTTTCAATTTCTCTAATTCTCTTATTTATTTTCCTCTTAATTTCATTTCAAATTTCTAAATTCATGGGACTCCTAAAATTATATGTTTATGG